AGTAGGAAGACATTTAAGATCATTCAATAAAATGTCAGAAGTATTGTAATAAAGAAAATGCAAGGTTCTGTAGATACATCTAACAGAAAGACCTAACTAATTCTAGAAGGGACAGTAAGAAGTAAGGAAAATCTATTATGACAAATGCTATAATGGAAGGTCTTTTTAGGTTTACGGATATCACAGAATGGGAGGTGCCTGGGTCTTCATGGAGTCAAGACATGGTAGTAAAATGTGGGCATGTGGTATTTGATGATGTATGTATGTATGATGTATGTTTGTATGATTCACGGAGCATGCCATAGCATTTAATAGCACCTGAGTGTCAATAGTTCTGGATTGTTGGGATCAGGTGGGCCAAATAGGGCAGGCAGTGGTGTATGTGGGGAGAGCCAGAGGAGCTGAGACAGACCTGCAGATCGGAAAGAGTTTCTCTCCACAAAGGATAAATGAGGTAGAGCTTCATCCTGGAGGCAGTGGATGTCACCGAAATATTTTAAGCAAAGGAAAAACCATAATCACATTTTTAATTTTTAAAGGTAATTCCATGATCTTTGTAGAAAATGGACTGATGGGGGCAAGGTTAGAGACAGGTAGACCATTCGTAAATTGTAGCAATGCCCAGGTAAGAAATAATGAGGTGAACCAGGGTGGTGGCAGTGGAGGTGGACAGGAAGGATCAGAAAAGAGCGAAGAGAACATCTGCATGCCTTAGTGAGCAATCGGTGGAAGGAGGAAGGAGGGTAAGGGAATGCTTGGGTGGCTGATGTGCCACTCAGGGGTTCTAGAAAGGGCGGAGTCTGTCAGCTCAGATCTCCCCCAGAATCAAAGTATCCTATGTTTACAATAAATATCAAATATAGCATCACTTCCATAGACCTCAATAATCCTTATACCCACTTTTGTTCTGTCAGGTATGGTGATCTGACTCACTTGTAAGACAAAGCAGTTAATAGCTCTTCAGGGTTTCCTAGTTGTAGAGAACAGCTTTCATAAATGGTTGAACTGAAGCAAATGTATGGGACACTGTGAGACCAGCTATAGTTTTAAAAAGCTTTTAAAGAAAGGGGGAAAAAAAAAAAAACATTCCTTCCAAAGAGAATGGCTGTTGTAGGAGATGCTTGTGTTCTACGATTGGCCTGTAGTGCCCTCTATTGGCTGTTTAGTCTAAAACATCATCTTGAGGCTTGAAGATAATGTTCCTTGCCGTTTTATTTAACCAAAAGAAGATAAGTTAGAGATTTAAAAATTCTGACGAAAACAAATAAGGATGCTAAAAATACACTGTAGGGGGGGGTTGTCTAGAGGTCCTGAGACATGTCTTGTAAGATTTCATTGGCTACCACATGGACATGATACTGTGGGCTGAATTTTCAGAAAATGGCCTTTCCTGTTGAGCAGCAGCCTGAATCAGGCTGGTTTCTGAGCAAATTTTTTTTTTTTTTTAAATGCAGCAAAGCCTCAAGAATAGCAGCCGCCCCAGTAGGCAGTAGCAGCTGTTGTTTTTTCATGGGGTGGCTGCTACATGTGATGGCCATGAAAGGAAGTGACTATTCCTCATTAAAGCGACTTCATTCAGCTATGTGGGAAGTCACACAGTCAGGAAAGTCATCATAGAAAATGAAGGAGTGATTAGACCTAATGGGGTATCTTCAGAGGTGGCCATTTTGTCTTTTTGTCCTCCAAGTGACAAGTTACTGCTGGCTTTGCTTTTCTAGGTAAAGAGGTGGTAGGTTAGATGTAGAGGTCTAAACCTGAATAAATTGTAGTAAGGAAGCACACCTGGCACTCGTGTGAGGCCTAAGGACCACACTTCGTATAAATAAGGACTCACTGTGACTTTTCTGCAGCCAGAGAAATCTATTAATCTTTCAAGAGGAAAGTTTTATTTCTGGTGAATCTTCCTTTGATATATGTCTGGTTATCATTTCAACAAGGTGTGCTCTATGGTAAGTGCTGTATATCAGTTTTTTAAAAATAAAATAGAAAACATTAGTGGCGTTATAAATTAGTTTTTACTAGCCAAATATATATATCAGATGTCAACGTTTTTAGTACTGTTCGTTTTTTAAAAACTTATTTTTATTTATTATTTTTCTAGAGGTTTTTTCCTGTAGGGCACGTGCGCTCACCTGAAAGAGAGAGACAGGGAGACAGAAAGCAAGAAATCACTCCCCAGGGGGGATGGCCATGCTGCAATCCCTTCTTCTCCATTCTCCTCTCGGGATCTTGGGCATGTACACACACGCACCCGGCATGAGTTTAAGCCACCAGGTCTGGGACTCAAGCCGTAGTCGACTATATAGGAGTCCAGCGATATAGCCATTACACCAACTGCTGGTCCCAGTACTGTTCATCTTTTAGTTTAAACATAGTGCTTTCTGATTCAGTGTTATTCACAACTGCAAAGATTGCTCACAGCCAATGTAGTGCTTTTGGTATATTTTACCGTTGCCATTTTCTCTAAGAATGTGTAGTCCTTATTAATCTGAAGTAATGCTAGATGCTTTCTGTGTGTTTCAGGAGAGGAATAAGCTATTACGTCGTCGCCCTTCCTCCCCAATAAAAAAGCCTTTTATCAAAAACCGACATCCTAAATGAAGGACATAATTGTACAGCTTATTTATTAGTGTGTCAAACTTCAAATGTAATGGTTTCATATTTCAGAATGAAGAGCGTGTGGTGATTCATGGTTGCTGGTGACAAAACAGACAGCTCTTTTATATTACTGCACTGATTGCCCGCTGATGGGCCACTGTCCTTTCTGCGGCTCTCCCGCACTCTCCCTGTGCAACAGCTCCCTCTACTTGAAAACGTGGGCCAAATTATCGTTCAACACCGCACTTAATTGGTGCATCCTCTTCGTAAATATGTGATGATTTCCATCAGAGCATGTACGAACAGAGACGAGAGTCTCTTGATTTGAGGGTGGAAAGGCAAGGTTAGTTGAGCCAAGCCAGATACATTATGTTTGAAGGCATTTTCCCAAGGAATTAGCTCTGTAGCTTTTGTTGATTTAAATATGATATATTTGGTTAAAATTCCATGCAGCCCTTTGGAAATAAACCCTGATGTGTGAAATACAGGTATAGAAAACGGAATTAGAAAACTTCAAACAGACATAGCCTACGACTTGGCAAATCTTGACTTTGCTGATTCCAAAGTCTTATAATTCCAACACAAAACCTGGCAGTTTCCCTTAGGAAGGGTTTAATAGAAGCTAACACAGTAAAATATCACTTTACTGCATCTTGTCTCTGTGGAACCGTGCGTGCATGGTGAAACAATAGGAGGGGCTGCGTGGACCAGCCAGAGCAAAGGCTGCTGTGATGGGGCTTTGTTTTTTTTTCTGTCACTAAGTTTGAGGGTTAGCAATAGTGTCCTATATCGCCCCCATCCAGACAAACTGAGCCTCTCCTCACCCGTCAGGTTGCCATGCGTCTGTGTCTCTTCTCCAGTCACAACTTCTCGTTTCCAGTTTCTTTTGACCGATAACGACGATTCAGAGCCTGGCGGGAAAGAGAGAAGACTTGAGCCAGACTGCCTGGTTGGGTTCTGGCTCTGCCACTTCCCAGCTGAGTGATCTTAGCTAGTTTCCTTAACTTCCTGAACCTCAGTCTCTTCATCTTTAAAATACAAGCAATATGGGGCCAGCAGGTAGTCTAGTGTTTATGTTGCTGGACTCCCACATGGCCGATGGTGGTTCTAGTCCCAGAGCTGGCAACTTGCGACTCATGCCTGGCACATGTGTGTGCATGCCGAAGGTTCTTGAGAGGAGAATGGAGAAGGGATTGCAGCATGGCCATCCCACCTAGGGGATAATTTCTCACTTTCCCTCTCACCATGTCTGTCTGTCTCTCTCTGACAAGTGCATGTACCCTAAGACAAAAATCTCACAATCAATCAATCAATCAATCAATAAAATACAAGCAATAAATCTGCCCATATCCTGGCATTGCTGTAAGACTTAGGTGATTGTCAAGCACTATATTGTAAGTGCTATGTATCTGTTTTTTGAATAAGATAAAAAAATTAGTAGAGTTACAGGTTTTTATTAGCCAAATACATTTGTTGAATGTCAGCGTTTTCAGTATTTGATGAAAACAAATATAGAACCCTACTATTGGATGAGGAAGATGTGCACATTTTTTGTTCATGCATTCATACTCCCTTTCTATGTATCAGAATAGTTCCAAACTAGGGGCGCCTGTAGCATGTCATCATTTTAGTTATGTTATTATTATGACTTTTTTATTTTATTTTTTATCAGAGGGCTTCAGAGAAAGAAAGGGAGAGGGTCAGAAAGCCTTTGTGAAGGACAGTCACACTGCAATCCCTTCTCCTCCATTTCTCCCACCTGTCAGGATTTGGGGCATGATTCGCATGCAGCTGGCATATTTTTCAGGTTGCCGGGTCCAGGACCCAAAGCACGCAGTTGACCCTGTAAGATTCAGACACCTTAACCACCATGCCAGCAGCTGGCCTGGTTATGTTATTTTTAAATATACTATTTTAATGCAGTGGAATATTCTACAGTCTCCATTATATTTTCTGAACGTAAGTGCTTTTGTAGGAAGATTCTGTATTGGTGGACGCATAAGAATCAGGTATTATCTTACATAATTTTCTTCTCTAGGAGCCTATTGATGGCCCAAGAGAAATACTTAGATGGGCTTGTCTTTGATCCTTGGTGTGACTCTACTTGAACATTTCAGAGAATCTTGCCAGCTGTTTCCAGACGTATTGTACTCCAACAAAATGTCTGTCACCACAAATTTAATGAAGAAATTTGTATGTATGAGTGCTCAGACATGCAGTTGAAATCATTCTGGTTATAGCTTCTTGATACACGCTAACATTCGTGTGGGTCTATAGAGTCCTATTGGAATTTACTTTGACCTCTTTGAAAGACTATCACCAGAAAGCTGGATACGTAAATCATCACATGAGATCTGTGAATAAACATACTAACTCATCTTTCTTCTTTGCTTGATTTGTAGGACCCTTTAGATCCAACAAGATCAGTGATTGTAATCCGCTCCCTGGTAGCAGACAGTGTGGCAGAAAAAAGTGGAGAACTATTACCTGGAGACCGCTTGGTCTCAGTCAACGAGTACTCTTTGGACAATACCACACTTGCTGAGGCTGTGGAAGTATTAAAAGCTGTGCCACCAGGCATTGTGCACCTTGGCATCTGTAAGCCTTTGGTGGTAAGTGCATTTTGTTGATATAGGAAGTATTATAGCGCAGTGGTTAAGAACATGGATTTTGGAGACAAATATACCTGGCCTCAAATCTTTGTTCTACTGCTTACTCTGTGACCTTGAGCATCTTTCTTAATGTCCTTGACTTACAAACTTAGAAAAAATAATACCGACCTTATTGGATTTTAAGGCTTAAGATTATATGGACCCATCTTGTAACCCAGCAGTTAAGAGACAGATGGATTCCACTTGGCTGATGGTGGTTCAAGTCCCAGTCTTGATGGCTTGAAAGGCATGCCAGGTGCATGTGCATATGTGCCCAGGATCCTGATGAAAAGGAAGAAAGAAGGAGAAAGAATTGTGGTGTGATCATGCCCCATGGGGAGGGGGTAGATGCTTTCACTTTCTCCCTCTCTATCTAGTTATCTCTCGCTCTCTATCTCTGGCAAGTGCACACAGCCTCTGGCAATAATACAAAAAGATTCTATTTATCAAGTCCACTGCATATTATTATATAAGTGGTAGCTGCTAATATTACTAGTGCTATTTTTAGCTTCATACTTCAGAACAGACTTCTAAGTTCTCATTTCTGATACATAAATTAGTATTTGTGCATTTTAACTTGCACTCAGGAATGATGTAGAGACAGAATGGCAAGTTGAAATCCAGTTAACCGTATTATTTTAACATATGGCAATGAGATTTTAATACATTTTTCTGACCATCAAAGTGCTCTGTGACTCCGTTCATCTATTAATAGAACCCTATGCAGGAATGCCATTTTGAAGTCATGTTATTGTTCCATCTCATGGCAGATTACTGATTATAACACGTCTATATTATAGTTATGGTGCTGTTGAGGTCACCAAGGCAAAAAATAACTGGCGACCATCATTTTCAGCTACTTCTAAAATATTTCTGAGTTCTTACTGTATGTCAGTTGTTACTTTAAACTCTCTCTTTTTATTTTCCCCTATGGGACATGTGTGCTTGCCAGAGAGACACAGTGAGAGAGGGAAAATGAGAAATCCCCCTCCATGGGTGATGGCCACACCACAGCTCCTTCTCTTTCATCCCCCTCTTGGGATTCTGGACATGCGTGCACATGGGCCTGCATGGTTTTTTAAGCCACAGAGTCAGACTCAGACTGCAGAGTTGTCCAGGTGGGATCCAGCGCCTTCACCACCACACCATCTGCTGGCCCAAAGCTCTTTATATGTGTCCACTAGTTTGATTCTCACAAAACATTCAAGAGGTAGTCCTCTTATTAGTCTCATTTCAGATAAGTCAATTGAGATACAGAGAACTGAGTAACCTATTCCAATCATGTAACTAATAAGGGGAGAGGTGGAATGTGAACTCAGGGTGGTAGCTTTCTCCCTAGCCATCGCTGTAGATTTCCATTTATTACATCGTCACTTGTTTAGTTTGTCCACAACACCTCCAAAACGGACAGCTTGATTGTAACAGAGTGGGCTGGATTCCAAGAAACCTGGGCTCTGTTTCTCGTTGTGCTATGAGTCAGCCCAGTGGGTTTCAAATGTAAAGATATGTAGTATACAGGGGCCAGCAGGTGGTATAGTGGTTAAGGCACTGGACTCCCATGTGGTTGACTGTAGTTCAAGTCTTAGACCTGGCAGTTTGAAATTCACACCAGGGGTGTGTGTGTGTGTGTGTGTGTGTGTGTGTGTACATGCCCAAAATCCTGAGAGGGGAATGGAGGAGAAGGGATTGTGGTGTGGGGTTTGATTTTTATCTTCTCTGGAGGTTGATTTCTCGCTTTCTGTCTCTCTGCCTCTCCAGCAAAAGCAGGCACCCTATAGCAAAAATCTCTTTAAAAATAAAAAAAGATAAATAATATACATAAGAATTACCTGAGAGATGATTAAATGCACTTTCCTAAGTCCTACCCTCAGAGATTCTGACTTGATAATTCTGAAGTAATATTCAGAAATCTGTCTCTTCAATAGGTCACCTGTGTAATTGTAATATTAGTATGATATACAGGTGTGCCACTTTCTGAGCCAATTTGGAAAGGCAGAGAGACAGAAAGCAAGGAATCAACCCCCCAACCCCACCCCAAGGGGGGATGACCACACCACAGTCCCTTCTCCTCCATTCTCCTCTTAGGATTTTGGGCACGCACACACACATGCCTGGCCTGAGTTTCAAGGTGCCGGGTCCAAGAGTCAAACTACATTGACCACTTGGAAGTCCAGCCCTTAACCACTACACCACCTGTTGGTCACAACATCTCTTAACTCTATAGCTGTTTTTATTCTGTGAATTACAGTAGCAATCATAAATAATATACAAGTTATTATAGACAGATAAACATACAGATCTGTTCCTCCATATTCAGATATATAGTCATGTGTTTAACAGTGGAGATACATTCTGTGGCATGGGTCATTAGGTACTTTCGTATGTATGATCATACGGTGTCCTTGCACAAACATAGCTGGTACAGGCTTCTACACAGGTAGGCTGCATGGTCTAGCCTATTATAATCTTACGTGACCACCACCGTTTATGGTGCGTGCCTCATTGACTAAAATGTCATTATGTGGTGTGCGATAGATTCATGTACTGCATCACACATAGTATTTTTGCCTAAGGAAATCTCAACATGCCTTCATGTATTATGTGTTTTTTGTTGTTGTTGTTTTAGGTTTTTTTTTTTTTTTTTATGAAGAGGCTTTTGCTATGGGGCACGTGCATCGCCAGAAAGACACAGAGACAGAGAGACAGCGAGAAATCATCCCCCAGGTGGGATGACCACACCGCAATCCCTTCTCCTCCACTCTTCCCTTGGGATCTTGGGCACTCACGGCATACACACCCGGCGTGAGTTCACGCCGCCAAGTCTGGGACTCGAACCGCAGTCGACTACATGGGAGTCTAGCGACATAGCCATTGCAGGCACCCTATAGCAAAAATCTCTTTAAAAATAAAAAAAGATAAATAATATACATAAGAATTACCTGAGAGATGATTAAATGCACTTTCCTAAGTCCTACCCTCAGAGATTCTGACTTGATAATTCTGAAGTAATATTCAGAAATCTGTCTCTTCAATAGGTCACCTGTGTAATTGTAATATTAGTATGATATACAGGTGTGCCACTTTCTGAGCCAATTTGGAAAGGCAGAGAGACAGAAAGCAAGGAATCAACCCCCCAACCCCACCCCAAGGGGGGATGACCACACCACAGTCCCTTCTCCTCCATTCTCCTCTTAGGATTTTGGGCACGCACACACACATGCCTGGCCTGAGTTTCAAGGTGCCGGGTCCAAGAGTCAAACTACATTGACCACTTGGAAGTCCAGCCCTTAACCACTACACCACCTGTTGGTCACAACATCTCTTAACTCTATAGCTGTTTTTATTCTGTGAATTACAGTAGCAATCATAAATAATATACAAGTTATTATAGACAGATAAACATACAGATCTGTTCCTCCATATTCAGATATATAGTCATGTGTTTAACAGTGGAGATACATTCTGTGGCATGGGTCATTAGGTACTTTCGTATGTATGATCATACGGTGTCCTTGCACAAACATAGCTGGTACAGGCTTCTACACAGGTAGGCTGCATGGTCTAGCCTATTATAATCTTACGTGACCACCACCGTTTATGGTGCGTGCCTCATTGACTAAAATGTCATTATGTGGTGTGCGATAGATTCATGTACTGCATCACACATAGTATTTTTGCCTAAGGAAATCTCAACATGCCTTCATGTATTATGTGTTTTTTGTTGTTGTTGTTTTAGGTTTTTTTTTTTTTTTTTATGAAGAGGCTTTTGCTATGGGGCACGTGCATCGCCAGAAAGACACAGAGACAGAGAGACAGCGAGAAATCATCCCCCAGGTGGGATGACCACACCGCAATCCCTTCTCCTCCACTCTTCCCTTGGGATCTTGGGCACTCACGGCATACACACCCGGCGTGAGTTCACGCCGCCAAGTCTGGGACTCGAACCGCAGTCGACTACATGGGAGTCTAGCGACATAGCCATTATGCCTACTGCTGGTCCTCACGTTTTATGTTTTTATTCTCCATATATTACATGTTAAAATGCCTGTATATTATATCTATCAGTCACTTCAGCACTTCATAATGGAATATATCTCATAGCTAAATCAAGTTCTTGATTTTTTTGTCTCTTTGATGTGTTCTTGCCAAGGCCAGCAGATGATCTACCACAAGGTACCCGGTTTGATTTCTAGATAAATTAAGTAGGAGAAAACTATTAATATTTTTAATGGGACACCACCTCTGTGGCATTGTAGAACAGAAGCTTGGCCTAGATTTTCCCTGATGATTTTTTGTCAGATTATTGTGGTCACATGGGAAAAATCCCAGCCTATTTATACACCCTATAGGACTCAAATAGCACAGTCTCTACTTTAAAGCAGTTTGAGGAAGTCTCAGGCAGTGAAAAACTTGGTACCATCTGGGTGTGGCTTCTTGTGCTATTTCTGGCAAAAGGAAAGCTGCAGAATCCTCAGGAACCTGGAGCAATACTCTGAGAGTGTTTTGGTACATAACAGGTGTAGGGTGGAACTTTGCCCAGGCTCCCTATGTGTGTTCGTAATGGGAGGCCAGTAAGGGATCGAGAGAAAGGTCAACTTCAAGACTTTTTCATTTTCTTTTTTTTTAACCACTCAGCGTTTTCTTTTGTAGCATTTGGTTTATTTTAACATGTCTGTTCATGAGCTCTAAATAAAGCTTCACAGAGCCAAGTATGTGTCTTCTCTGTGGTCTCATCATACTTTGTCTCCCTTGTGGTACACTTGGTGGCCTCTTTTCTAATCGACTAACATTTTCTGGCCATTTCTCAGTCCACAGCAGAAGTGGGAATAGAGACTGTGAATAAGAAGTCAGATGGAGGCAGAAAGACTGACTATATAACAGTTTATGAGAACACAAATATTGTTATTAAGTCTTGAGTTGGGTAGAACTATATCATAGCTAATGGGGGTTCACATTCTGGCCCCAGCAGCTTGTAAAATACGCTGGGTGCATGTGAGTGCATGCCCCATTATCCCAATAGGATGGAGAAATGAAGACGGCTGGGATTGTGGCATGACCGCTCCCCACTGGGGACTGGTTTCTCCTTCTTTCTCTCTTTCTTCTTCTGTCTATCTCTGGTGAGTACAACTAAAAGGAGATGAAGATTTTTTTAAAAGCAGTTTGAGAAGCTCTGATCTGAACATGGCTTCTTTTTTATTTTTAGAGAGAGAGATTTTTGCTGTTGCAATCTCTCCTGCTCCATTCTCTTCCCAGGATTTTGGGCATGCACGCACACACTGGTGTGATTTTCAAGCAGCCTGATCTAGGACTTGAACTGCAGTCTGTTAGGTAGCACCTTAACCACTCTGTCAGCTGCTGACCCCTATGGCTTTCTTTTTAATTATTAAATAAAGTTTATTCCAATGAAACAATATAAATTTTGTATACTTGCACAATAGAATGATGAGAATTAATTTGAAGGCAGTTTGCTAATAGTGAATTATATTTTCAGGAAGATGCTAAAGAAGAAGGTTGTTATACCGTACATTCAAGCAATACTGAGGACCACACTGAACTTTCAACAGCAATTCATGATATAAATTCTTCTTTAATACTTGAAGCACCCAAGGTATTTGGCAGTTCATTTCTCATTTGAATGATTTGCTGTGGGCTATAGTTTCCGTAAAGAAGACAAAAGCTTATCCTCTCTCATTGGCTAAATAGATAACAACTTACATAATCTCCTCTCTCTTATTCTGTGTTCTAAATGGAAATTTTTTCTTCTCTGTTTTACGTTGCTTATCTAAACAACACAGGCAAAATGTAAAGCTTTTTTAAAAAACAAACATACCTTATTTTATATCACTAACATATTCCTAATTTTTTTTTTTGAGTAGAACATATTGTTGAAAATAGACCTGCATTAAAAATGTTGTAGAAAATGGTCCTATACAAAAAGTTTCATACTTTTAAAAAGTATGCTTCAATTTTAGACAACGTATTTTGAAGCTGTTCCTTTTTTATTACTAGAACAAATTATGCTTATGTTACTTTTTGCAGTTACAATATTACTTCATTTGATGACTACTGTCTGGTGATAGTCTTTGCCTAACTTGTTGACACTCTGCTGCTGATATTAGTTCCTATAATATGCATTATATTTTTTAGTGTAGACTTTTTCATTAAAATTTTGTAGTTGCGTGATCACATACACCCTCCAACCATAATATTTTTGTTTTGGGAAATAACCAGCTTACAGTTATTTGGTAAATCATACTAATTTTAAAACGTTGCCACAGTGGTTTGTAGCTGTGAAGAGGAAGGAGTGGGAAAGAATAGATTTATTGTAGAAATTTAGATTTGATACTGTTTCACGATGGGACTTAAAATTGGAAATACCATGGATTTTCTTAGAACAATGTGGGTCTCATTGTACCCAGCACCCACAGGCTCCCCAGAGTTGGGTCAAAAGCTCAGAAAACCTGTATGTATGTTCATCAGACATTAGCCAGAAACTCAGTGGTTTCTGCACATGTAGGTATATACTAGCTGTTGTGATTAGTGAAAAAGAAATCAAAAGATATACTGTGTTCATTCTTTGTTATCTTTTATAACAGGTGACAAAATGTATTTCTACTATATAGTATATTATAAAAGAGTCATATTCAAAGTAGTTGAGATATACTCTCCTTATCTTTTTTTTAAAAAGTATTTACTTTTATTGATCCTTATTTTAAATTTGACCAGAGAGAGAGAGAGAGGGAACATTGAGAGTCCAAGCTACCAGCTGTAGGACTCAAACCATGGTATGCCATGGGGGGGTCCAGTGCTTTAACCACCATGTCACCTGCTGGCCCCACTCTTCCTTATCTTTATAGAGAATGATTTTTGAACATTTGAATAGCCAGAGGGTTTCGTTGTGTTTTTAGTTAATCTTTAAGATTCTGACATCTTAAGTCTGCTTTCTTAAGTTACAGGATGAAGTATATGTTTATTTTTGTACTACTTTTTATTTTAGGTGCATGGGTTAGATATTTAGTGTAGCAGTCTAACAGATTCCTATTTCCAATGGAGAGTTTTCAAGTGGTTAGTGCATAGTGAACCTTTTGGAATAGTCATTCATCTTGCCAAGGGCAGATTCCTGCCTCTTATTTTCCTGTTTGTCCCTTTTCTGGTTTGAGGGTTGTGTGGAAGAGAGCTTATACCCGTTTCTCTTGTGCAATGTAGAGCTATTCATGTTAGAAATGCATTGGCATATTACAGGATTGTCAGCATTTTAATTTTCCAGTTAGTGTGTATAATACAGCGTTAAAACAGGTATATTCTGACATTTTAAAAATGTATTCACAGGGATTTAGAGATGAACCCTATCTTGAAGAAGAACTTGTGGATGAACCATTTCTAAATTTGGGGAAGTCTTTCCAGTCTCAACAAAAAGAGATAGACAACAGCAAGGAGGCCTGGGAGATGCATGAATTTTCGACTCCTGGATTGCAGGAAATGGGTCAAGAAAGAGAAATGCTTGTTGATGAAGAATATGAGCTGTTTCAAAATCAGTTTCAGTCCATGGAGTTGTACCACTCATCGCACATGCGAGAGGCCCCCGCCGTGCCCTCTGGGAAGGAGCTTCACTTCGGTACACAGTGGTTACATGATGATGAGCAACTGGAGCCTCAAGAAGCAAGAGCCATGCAGGGGGTGTTTTCCCAGGAGACACAGCAGTATGGCTGCAGCCCTGAGAACACGGTAAGGGATCGCAACATTCTCCCACACCGTCCCCTTCTGCACACCCTGTCTCTAACTCAGTAACTTCCAAAACCAAAAAACAAAAGAATTCCAACCAAACAAATCAGTGAGTGACGGTCGGTATTTACAGGATGAACTATTCAGTGTATAACCCCAAGTGTAAGCCCCTCTTTTCTGGGCTGTACAACTTCTCATGGAAGCCAAAACTGCAATTACCTTGCTAGGGTAGTGGTGGTTGCTCTGCCCCTTTTTTTTTTTTTTACTTGAAAATTGTTCTATAGAGTTTGTGTTCTCACTAGAGAGATAGAGAGACAGAGGGACAGTGAAAAAGCACCCCCCAGGAGGGATGGCCACACTGTAGTCCTTTCTCCTTCATTCTCCTCTCAGGATTTTGGGCATGCACCTGGCAAGTTTTTCAAGCTGCCAGGTTTAGGACTTGAGCCATGGAATCAGCCATGTGGGACCCCGTGCCTTAACCTCCACACCACCTACTGGTCCTTGCTTTGCTTTTTAAATGGTGTTTTTTGGGGCCAGCCGGTGGCATGGTGGTTAAGGGGGTCTGGACTCCCACGTGACTGACTGTGGTTCGAGACCCAGACCTGGCAGCTTGCTTTCTCACTTTCCTTCTCCCCCTCTCTGTCTCTCTCTGGTCAACTTCAAAATAAATAAATCAATTAAGTAACAAAAACAAATAAAATTTAATAATAATTAAAAAATAATAAATGGTGTTTTTCTTCTAATCTCTAAGGAATTGTTTTTTCAACATTTGTGATTTTTTTTTTCTTTCCTCTCATGGAAATACAGTTATATATTTCTCACATAGATTCGTCAGGGCAGATCAAGGCAAAATTGATTGAAAATGTATTGTTACATCTTGGTCGCCCACATTGTTCTCTGTGTTACATACGATACAAAAGCACTGAACTCTAGGACATTATATTGAGATACTTTCTATTTACATCTTGGCAGGAAAGTATTATATTTTAATAGGCTTGCCCTTGTGATGAAATCACCAAGAAACTTTTATTTTTTATAAAATTATAGTTGCCTAGTCACGAGTTAGAATCGTTTATTAGAGACATTTTTCAACATTTTTTGTTTTGTTTGTTTATCTCCTGCCTCAAATTAACTTACTGGCAAGTGAAAAGAACCTTCATGTATAGGGACATTTGCAAAAAGGCAACTTAGCAGTAAGTTCAGATGCGGAATGGTGCTGCTTTCTCTGAGGGTAGCAGTTTTCCTGTTGTGATGTGCAAAGCGTGGTTCTGGTGGCTCTCACAGGACAGACAGCGGTGGTGTCTTCCTCTGCCTCCCTTAGGCATTTACTCCTTTTTCTCTTCTGCATATGCATATGGGTCCCTTTGCTGGGCAAGGCACTTTGCTAGCTGCCTTTAGGAGATCCCAGAGGATTCGCCATGGTAGAAGGCTCTGGGCAGCCTACCAGGGAACAGATGCTTTGTTTTGGCCATGTGCGATCCAGCTACCTTAACCACAAGTCCACAGCTGGCCCAAGTACTTAAACCTTTACGACTATAGAGGAAACAGTCAAATGTATATTCGTATTTATTTTATAAATTTGGTTAACTATGTGTATTTTTAAACCAATAAAATGTTTGGGGGGCCGGCAGGTGGTATGGTGGATACGGACAGTGGACTCCAACATGGCCAACTGCAAATTGAGCATAAGGGACTCTGTTTTGAACTTTAGTATGGTCTGTGGGAGTCTAGTATAGGAATTTAGCTTAAAAACAATGGCTTCCTATAAGTTTCATGAACAACGTGAAATGAATCAGGGTATGCCTGGCCCCTTAACCTAATGGTTAAGGGAGTTAGATTTCCCATGGTTGATTGCAATCTGAATCTCTGCCCCAGAGGCTCGAAAAACATACTGTGTATTTGTATGCATGTATGCAGTCAAAATCCTGACAGGACGAAGAGGAGGAGGGCCATGACTCATTAGGTGGTGCTTTCTCCCCTCTCTCTGTCTTGTATGCACCTGCATTCCTTGTCAATTAAAAAAAAAAAATAGAGTATATCTTATGGTGGCTATGTAACTATTGTTTAGATTTATGCTTATAAAGATTCTTTAAATATAATAAAATACTTCATTGAAAATTTTGTGTTATAGGGGCCAGCAGGAGGCATGGTGATTAAACTGCTGGACTCCTATATGGCTAGCCCTTGCTTTCTCTTTCCCCTTCTCTCACTCTATCTCTCTCTCTCTATCCCTCTCTCCCTTTGGTCAAATTTAAACATAATAATAACAAAATTAAATAAATAATATTTTTTTAGAAAGAAAATCGTGTGTTATGTGTCTTATTCTGTTTGGGTTGCTATAACAAAGTAGCAGTGTTAACTGAGTAGCTTATACACAACAGTTTATTTCTCACAGTTCTGGAGACTGAGAAGTCCTAGGTCAAGGTGACAGCAGTTCCCATCTGTCCAGAGCTGGTTTTCTGGTTCACAAAGGGCACTTTCTGACTGTGTCCTCACATGGTGAAAGGGGCAGATGAGCTCTCTTGGGCCTGTTTTATATAAGAATACAAATTCTTTCATGAGGGCCCTGCCTTCATAATCTAATCATCTCACAAAGGAAGAGAAGAGTGCTAGGGAGAGCACAGCAAAGGCTTAGAGATGCATAAATCCATCATGTCTGTTGGCATCAGTATTAGAGCTATTTCAGTTGTGGGCACCAGAGCATCAAGATCCAGGAAGTTGTGTACATCAACAATCTGTCTTGCTTGGCTTGATAATTTTTTTATTCTTCTACCTTGTTAATGTTTATTTAGGTTCACTTATTATGTTTATGAAGCAAAATTTTTGTTACACAGTGTTTAGGGGCTGGATGGTGGCACCGTGGTAAAACATAACATTCTGCAAGCCCGACCTCAATGAAGAGGTTCTGGGTCTTCTTTGTGAGCCCCCTCTGACAGGCAAGTGCAAACCCAGGGTCTGAAGTGCACTGAAGCTGGGCAGATTGCAGAACTGAGGCCTTATTGGGGTTTCTCTCTCTTTCTTTCTTGCTCTTGGAAGAAATAAATAAATAAACTTAAATTTTTAGTGTTTGCCAAGAAACAGGCTTTACTAGCCTGTACTCCTGCAGATACTAAGCTGCCAGCATTCATTACTGCTTTACCCCAGTACAAACCATTACTCGAGGATGCCTGTTAGCAAGGCCAGGTTCCGACTCTCATCATTATCTGGTCTAAGAACAGTATAGCGTTCCACATGTTTTCACGAAGCACTAATGTGTTTCCATTTTTCTTCCTCTCAAGATGAAAGAGAATTTTGGCATCGATTCCTTACCAGGCCTACCCTCAACTGAAAGAAACAGTCAACAAGACAGATTTGATGATCTGGAAAATTTTAATTCATTAACAACAAGCAGTCTGGATTTAGGTTTGTGGTTTTTGTTTCTCATCCACACAAATGACTTGTTTGTAATTTTTCATTTTTAGTTTTGTATATAGTGGATTTCGTGGTCACATTTACATTCGTTATGGTATTTTGAATTTGAGTGTATTTGCTAATTAACATGCCTTAGGACACCTGAAAGAATGAAGGTGACTCATATTTCAATTTAGAATTTTTCAGGTTCTGTTTTCTGAGAGAGCTACATTTCTTCTACCTCATCTTGCTTTTTATTAACAGTGCGTACTAAAACTAAAGCTAGTACCTTACACTGAATCTGGAATAAGCCTCTAGTAATATATATTAAAATCTCAGATGCTGTTAAGTGATATTGTTAGCTCATTGAACAGGGCTGTTAAATATTAATAAAGAGAGGCATATTTTAAACATTTATGAAACATTTTATAGCCATATATTACAGTCAATTTTAGCACATTAATAACTTTGTTTCCATTAAAGAATTCTAAAAGTATAGTTCCTTTCCTTGCCTCTCCCCAATATCGATTCTTATGTACTTTTGGAAACTCGACTTTAAAAAATCATTTTTCTTCATCCCAACAGTGAAATATTGACTGTCACTATAATATTAACATCCTTAGGTGAGACTGCTAAGTTCCTTCATAACACTGGGATTTATGGAGCCATTGTTCAGGATTTATGCTGTCCTTCACCTGTTAGAATCTACTTACAGGAATAGTCTTTCTTTTTGGCATTTCTCGTGTCGTAAAGGGGGAAGAACTACAGAAAATAAAGAATGGAATCCATAATAGCAAAGATGGACGACAACTATGAGATTATAATACTGTCAGTTCCCTGCAGTCCACACCAACGCATAGACCCAACTGCAGTGGTGCAGGCTCTAGGGGCGCTGTTGTGATGCTGCAGGCCATGTGGAAGGGCTCTGGGTAAACGTCTGGGTCTGCCTGGATACAGTGGGTGTGATAGCAGGTGCATGGCTGATCATAAGGCTGGGGAGGTCATGAAGTCCCTGTGAAGGGCCTGCCTGCCTGCCTGTGTCTCTCTCAGTAAGGAAATTAATAAATGAACATTTTAAAACCAACAAAAAACAGTATGGATAGTTAATTTTTAATATTAAAGATTATGTGACTCTATCTAATTTTTCAAAATCATGAGTAGAAGAAAAATGGGACCTATTTTACTCTCCAAAATTTACCAGATATACTGCTTTTTAAAATGTACGCTTCTATGGTACTCTTGCTGCTGAATATTTAGAGGAGATTTATGGCACAAGTGAATGAATAAGTGAATGAACAGAGCTTATCTGTTTGGTCACCATTGATAGTTACGGCATTCTCAGCATATTTTAACCAGATGAATCTTGGTGTGTTGGGGTCGGGGAAGGGGGCTGCTGTCTTAAACACTGTAAGATGACCAGTGGCTTCCTAGCCTCTAACTGTAGATGCCAGTGGTCCTCCCTCTTTCAGCCATGATCAGCATCAAATTGTTAAATGTCCTCTGAAGGACAAAACCACCCCTGGTTGAGAACCACTACAATATACCATTAGGGCTAAAAGGAATTGTCTAGGTATGTGGGTTGGGCATTTGGGGGTGGAGGTAGTGGAATTGGGAAGAAGACAAGGGAAGGGATATTCTTGTAGGATGATCCAGTCCCCTCAGAGCCCTGCTCTCCCTTCTGCTGCCTATGGTGGTTTCCTGTGGCTGCTCTGTAACAAATTACCACAACTTTGATGGCTTAAAACCATCAACTGGTTGCCCTAAAATAGAAATTCATTTTCTCACTGTTTTGGAGGCTGAAGTCCTGAATCAAGGTGCCATGATCCTTCCAAAGGTATATACAGAGAATCTGTTCTTTGTGTCTTCTTTCTATGTCTTGTGGCCCAAGTGTTCATGGCTTGTCATATGATTGCAGTTTCTGGGAGAAAAGATCTGTCCTCTTCCTTATGGCCAGGTCCCCTCCTCTTCTGTCTCTCATAAAGACATTTGTCATGGGTTTTAGATTCATTTGAGTAATCTATGATGGTCTCACCTCAAGATTTTCTAAATATTTTTTATTTATTTATTTATTTATTTATTTATTTATTTATTGCCAGAGGTTGTATGCACTCACAAGAGAGAGAACGAGTGAGAGAGGGAGGGAAAAGAGGGAGATGGAGAAAGCACCCCTAAGGGAGTATCATCATGAGTCAAGACATAATCCCTTCTCCTCCACTTTTCCACCCTGTGGGGATTTTGGCATGTATGCACATGCACTAAGCATACCTTCAAGCAACTGGAGCCAGGATTTGAACCCTGGTCAGCCATGTGAGATTCAACTCCTTTAACCACTAGGCTGTGGAGCTGGCCTCTATCTCAAGATCTTTAACTTAATGGCATCAGCAAAGACTTCCCAAGTGAGATCTCATTCATAGGTTATGAAACATAGACATACCTTTTGGGGAGGCCTCCCACCGTTCAATTCACTACATTGCCTTAATCTTTCATGGTCCTATATATTTGTCTTATAACTTTTAGGATGAAACTAAACTTATATATTTTAGAGATCTTTCCTTACTAGAAAAGCATTCATAGACACATACTTTTAGGGAGATTTTTTTTTTTTTTTTTGGAGAGATTTTCACTGTAGGGCGCGTGCACTCGCCAGACAGACAGAGAGAGACATAGAGACAGAAAGCGAGAAATCACCCCCCAGGGGGGATGGTCATGCCGCAATCCCTTCTCCTCCATTCTCCTCTCGGGATCTTGGGCACGCACGCACACGCGCCCGGCGTGAGTTTTAAGCCACCGGGTCCGGGACACGAACCGCAGTCGACTACGTGGGAGTCCAGCGACATAGCCATTACGCTAACTGCTGGTTCCCTAGGGAGATTTTTTTGAGGGCCTCTTGTGACAGGCAGTTAGTGTTAACCATGGATGGATGGGTGGGCAGGTTAAGAAGGTGTTGATACAGATTTCAGCAGCATACGCATTAAGTTTATTCTACTCAGATTTTCATTTCCTTTTGAGATCCCTGAAATTCTATTTCAATCCCAGGTTCATCTATACAATGCATTTAACCTGTTCTGTTACCAAGTAAGCCTCTGGGCTTCTCCAAGCCTCTCCCTCATTTGTAAGGCTTTGGTCCAAGTATTGTCTAAATTTCCTTTCACATCTGCAGTTCATTGTTCACTATTTGTAACAATCTTAGATTTATCTATAGAGCAACACATTTATAAATCATATTTGAACATTCCATTGGAGGAGGGAGTACTTTCTGTCTCTTACTGTTGAGTGCATGCACCTTCTGGCAATAAATTTCTTTTTTAAAATATTGCTTTTGAAAGCCTATGTATAAAGACCTATTCTTGACTCTGTGATTAATCCAGAGGTATGTATTTTTAAAGAGCTTATACTTTTCATGGGGTGTGAAATCTTACCTATAAAATAGCATAATTAATCATTTAAGGCATATAGGATAAAATCCAAAGGAGTAATGCATTTAGTTTTACAAGATTTCAGACAGAAAGGAGTTCTATTTCCCAGTCTTTGACTGTCTTTCCCTGGATTGACCTCCAGTGAACCCCAGATGAAGTTCTGTCTTCTATTGCCCCCATAGTCAGTATACATACTCATTTACAAATCTCTCTCTTAACTACTAACTAGTTCCTGGGGGACAAGGATTGTATCAACTATGTTATCAAGTACATGTGCAAGAGAGACAAGGAGTCTCCAGGAAGTGCATAGAAAATGTATATTATGGAAAACCTTGCATATACATTACAAATGTTCCTTGTACCAAAATAAACTCTTACGTTATTTCCATTTAACATCAACTTTTTGAAGTCCCCATGTTTATTGAATGGGAAACTGATATGCTGTTCACGTGTGGCTCTTCAACAGCATATCAATTCACAACGTTTTTTTCTAGCTGCTAAGGTGTATGATGACCCAGTCACCTCTCTCTTGGAGTCTTGCCCTTATTTTGTTTGCCATTTTATTCTTGCACCTCACCAGGGATAAACCTATTAAAATTTCCCATTCCTCTCCTGTAAGCATTAACTTCCATTTATCCTGGAGCGATTTTTAAACTTCCCTGTTTTTCTAACCTCTGTGCCCCTGTTATGACCATTACCTAACATCTGCAAAGGCCCTCAAGGACCACATTTGTTTTACGGGCTCCTGGGTGCCATGGTGCACTCGGTGAACAGCTCTGTAAAGTGTAGCTATGTCAAGCACTGCACAAGGTGAGAAATACATGCCCGAGCACTGCCAAGGGCCCAGGGAGGCAGCAGTGGTACAAAGGACATGGCAGCCTTTGTGTGGATCAGGTAATGAAAAACTTTAAACATACCGCAGTAACCAGGGTAGCCCAGTGGTGCAATGTAACAGGCTGCTTTTACCAGCAGGCTGCATAGGAAGTAGCTCTGCAGAGAGCCAGTTCCCTATCCTCAAAACAATGGTCTTAAACATGCCTTCCTGGGTCCCACCCCAGATCCCTCTTTTTTCAGTGGGTGAAGGCAGACTAGGCAGAACTGTAACTGGCAGTGCTTGGACTGTCTTGCACCAATGCAGGCCCTACTGGGTGGGAATGAAGGCTGCCTGGGGTTGGGGAAAAGGCAACTGAGGTTTCTTTTAATCCCACCTGAGCATGACTGTTCTTTTCACCCATCTCTATCTACCATATTATCAACTGATTAGACCTTGATTCCAAAGTTTCTAGACAAGGTAAAAAAATAGAAGTGGTAGTAAGTTTAATAAAAAAAAATGTTTAGTGTAAAGAAATGGAAAGAGTTTAGATGATACGTATAGGAAATGTTTGAGAAGGCTATCTATATTCCCCAAAGATCATTTCTGATTTTCTGATAAGGCAAGTCCATAAAATATCCACAGCTGATGCACAATTCATTATGTTCTTATAAACATAAGCGATATTGGCTGAGAATTTAAAGTGGATTATTGGGATGTGCTTGATGAGTGATTAATGGACTACGCTCTCATCAGGGCAAGTCCTAGCCTTGTGTCACAGGACTCTGCGCCATCTGCCTTAGGTACACATTGCAGTAAGTGGAAAAATGACACGCATCATGTAGAAAATATGTGCACATTCTCAGAAATCGGGTGATTTTTTTTTTTTAATATGTGGGATAATAAAGCTGAGATCTGAAGCAATCCTGATAATTGAGAACAAAGACCTCTGTCCAATACGATAAGTATTTTTCAAAAAGTCTGAAGCTAGACTGTTTGGGCCCAAAATCTAACTGCTCAATTTGTAAGACAACAGAACCTTTGTAACTTGATTTTCTGTCATGACAGAGTTCTTGGTGTGGTGAGAATAACAAATAAGAGTCATAGAACTTTAGATTTCCAAGTTTATTTTTTTTTCTTTTTGAAATTCAATTCATTCTGGGTCCCATTTTTCTACTTGGCATATTGTATTGCTAAGCAAGAGTGCTTTTTTGTGGTGGTGAATCAAAATAATGGTAACGTTATTTTTCAAATTAAGCTGCCTCCTCATATTTGTTCCTTCTACCTTCTTGGAAAATTTTATTGACCTGGTTCCTTATCACCATCCAGGCCTGTGACTACTCCATTTAAAACAACCATTTCTTCTGTTCCCACCTTTGACTTTAATTTCCCTCCTGGAACACCTGTCCTGAAGTCATGCTTGTGTGTTCATCCTGTCTCCTCCTCCTGGACCACCTCCCAAGAACAGGAACTTGGTCAGTTTTATAGACTTTGCTCTCTATGATGCGGGGGGTAGTTCCTGGCTTCTCTTGCGCAGTGCATTACCACGAAGGCGCCAGAGTCTGCCCTGTATATAGATACAGAGCTCTTCATTTACTTCTGTTGAAAGTGGGATTATTTTAGGCTTCCAGTTAATATTGTTTGAATAAATGGCATTTCCAAATCACCAAGGGGGATTAGTCAGAAGTCTCACAGCTACTTTTTGAGACCTAGAAGACACATGTATTCTTTTCTCTTTTCTTAACTTGCTATAGATCATGTGCACTCACCAGAGAGAGACAGTGATAGGAAAAAAGAAGAGTGAGAAAGCATCTCTCCCGAGGGGGATGGCTATGCCCCAATCCCTTTTCTTCCATTCTCCTCTTGGGATTTTGGGCATGCACGCACACACTCCAAGCTGCTGAGTCTGGAATTTATAGCGCAGTCACCAGCCATTTGGGATCCAGCCATCTTTAATACCATCCCACCAGCTGACCTCATAGTGTTTTCAATTTCTTTTCTTTTCTTTTTTCTCCTCTTCTTTTCTCTTCCTCTCTCTTTCTTCCTTTCTCTCTCTCTCTCGCTTGCTCTCTCTCTCTCTCGCTCTCTCTTTTTTTTTTTTTTTGCTAGAGGGCTTGTGTACTTGCCAGAGAGAGAGAGAGTGAGGGAAAGTGAGAAAGCATCCTCCATGCGAAATGTTCATACTGCAATCCTTCCTCCTCTATCTCCCTCCTTTTGGGATTTTGAGTACACGTGTACACACACAAGCACCCAATATATTTTTCAAGCCAGCAGGTCCAGGACTTGAACTGTGTGATCAGCCATGTAAAATCCAATTGCTTTACCCACCAGGCCAGAGAGCCAGCACAACACATGTATTCTTTAGAATGGACTGTGAGATGCAAGTAACTGATAGCCAGCTTACTAATAATACTAGGTGTGAATTTTATTTGCTTTGCATTTTGAAAATAATATATGGTAGTTATGCTATGCTTACTATATCTATTAATAATATATATCAGCACATGATCTATTAGAGTTAGATCAGGGGAGCTTCCTTTAGTTTATTTGGGCAAGTATAGGAAAAAAACCTCTATTTTTATTAATATGATAATTCCATTATATGCTGCTTAAAACTAGGGAAGAATATAAGAAAATTCATAGATGTCCCTCAGTGTTTCAGAAGCTTATCATGTGAACCCTGCTAGGTAAAAATCAAATATAATTTAGCAGAAAATCTGTTACAGATATTTAAATAAATTATAGCCATCTGTATCTGATATTGTTCAGGTAAAAATTGGCAAAATTTTGTAACTTGAGTTTCCCCATTTGTAAAATATGTTTATAATATATTTTCTTTCTAACTCAGTTTGATATCTGTTCCAGTATGTTCCATTGCTAATAATAGCAACATCTGAGTCAGGGTAACTTAAGAGATTAGAGACTTACTTAACTCAGAGTTCTGGAGGCCGAGAAGTCCAAGAGTGTGGTGCCAGCAGCTACTGAGGGTCCTCTAGTGACACATGTGGAGCAGAACATATCTGTGACCCTGTGTCTGTGTCTCCTTTTATTTTCTTTTAAACAGAATTCAATCATGGGGACCCTGCTAGCTCTGTTGCCTAGCCCATTTTGCAATACTGTAATTGGATTAAGTTTCCCTTTAAAAAAACATTATTTATTTAATTCCATTTGTTATTTTTATTTTTTATTTTGACCAAACAGAGACAGAGAGAGAAAGAGAAAGCAAGAAAGCAAGCTGCCAGATCCAGGACTTGAACCATGTTTAGACATGTGGGAATCCAGTGCCTTTATCCACCATACCACCTGACAGCTCCGGGTTTTTTGTTTTGTTTGAGAGAGGTTTTTGCTATAGGGCGCGTGCACGTCCCAGAAAGACAGGGAGACAGAAAGTGAGAAATCACCCCCTGGGGGAATGTCCATGCCACAATCCCTTCTCCTCCATTCTCCTTTCGGGATCTTAGGCACATATGCACACGTACCCAGCATGAATTTAATCCACTGGGTCCAGGACTCGAACCACGGTCAACTATATGGGAGTCCATAGCCATTACACTAACTGCTGGTCCCCAAAGTTTCCTTTTAATACCTTCATGATACAACTAAATTCTAACGCCTGAATTTTGGGGGGATACATTCAAACTGCAACAATAGAATTAAATGAGGAACAAATATAAGAAAATTCTGAAATTTGTAAACAAGGCCTTTTTAAAATGTATTTTTATTTGATATTTGTTATTCTATGGGTTTTTTTTTAAGAAGTGAATTATCTGAGTGCTTATAATTGGAACAGCCTAGGTTAATAAGGAAAAATTAGTAGTAAGATTAGAAAACCATCATAAAAGTGATTCTTCTGATAAAATATGAATACTACTACAATGTCTTTTTCTTGGTTATACTTAAAATCATAACCTCCTTCTACTGATTAATCTTCATCTCCCTTCCTTCCTTCATTTTTCACCATAGTACCTGTTACCATCTGACATTAAGCTTGTTTACTCTAATATCAATTTCCTGTCTGATGCTCATAAAGATTGGTTGAATGACTGAAGGGTGATGAACCCATGTTGTGTTCACTGTCATCTGGATTTGCTCTTCAGGCATGATGATTCCGGATGATGACCAAGGTCCTAACTCACTCGTTGACCTTCCTGCTGTGGCTCAAAGAAGGGAACAAGAAGAGCTGCCTTTATATCAACTGCCCAGGACCCAAGTTGTTTCGAAGACTTCAGCATACACAGGAATGCTGTCTGCTAGACATGCCACCAATGCATGGTATATCATTTCCATGTGTTTTCATATTAAAAAACAGGTTTTTAAAATTGCTTCTAAACAAGTGCATAAATTTGGTAGAACATTTGGGAAACACAGGAAAATATTGTGAGTAAAATCTATATAGGAAATTATTATGGGATTCCACACATACTTAAAATTGAATCATATATACAGTTTTATAGTCTTGCAGTTGAATGTGAAATGGATTACATAGAGTGTTTGCTTAAAGAATGGGAGAATAATTCAGAGTTCATTTTAACAACTCAAAGAAAAGCATTTGAGGGTAAATTAAGTAGAAGATGGATTTAGAATGAGAGGATCTATAGGAATTAATGACTGAAATATGTTGGGAGTAGGAGAGGGTTAGCTGAGGATGACTCCTGTTCTAAACTAGGAAACTGGACAGATAGTAGGACATTAATTCTCCAGTATAAGATTATAAAGCATGAGCAAGTTGGAATGAGAAATGATGGGTTCAGAGTAGGACACACTAAGGGTTGAAATAGCCGTAGACAACAAAGTAAATAGAATCAAGTAAATCCATGAGTCTGAGGATTAATGTGGAGGTCTATCCTGACATTAGCCTTTGGGAGCAAGGTCAAGTGTAAACAGAACTCGTGGATTTGAATGATCATCCAGGGGAATCTGGATCCTACAAAGCAATAAACTGTTAAGGCATGATTAGAGGAAGAAAGGAGTGGGGTGAAATGAACAGAAGATAGAAGGAAATTGATGAACTTGAGGTTGACATAGAAACCATAGGAACAGAGCATTTTAATAAAAGGATCCTCACACACATGCTACAGAGATTTCCAGGTGGAGGAGACACACATTTTCATGGCGCGTGGCCACAGGACTCTTGGTAAGCATATTGCCATTTCAGCAGAGTGGAAATTAGTACATAGTGGGTTGAAAAATGAACGGAGGACCAGAAGTTGGTTGTAGTAAGCACTGACTAGCATTTTGAGAATGCTGGTCATGAAAAGAGGCAGATAGAATGCAGGATACCTGTTGGGTTGTCGGAAAAGTCATGACACATTTTTTCTAGAAAATCATGGAAAAATCAATCACACACACACACACATGTATATGACTACATTACTGCGTAATATGAATATATGTGAAACTCAAGCAAATCTTATTTACTTTTAGAAAGATCCAGAAAAGTAATATGTAGATGCTAGAAAGGGAGTGATAAGATAGGACCTGAAGAAGGTGAGGAGCGAGGAGAACACTGCATCCTAGAGAGGGGAACCATTGGTAGTTTGAAGGGTGGAAATTCCCCTTCTCCACTAAGAGAGGTGCCAGTAATGAAAGAAGGGCGGACTCACACGTACTTTTTTATAACATAGGGACAGAATCCCAAGAGGATGCTTGTGTAATGACTATAACTACTTTATTTATTTATTTAATCATTTAAAGAAAAGGTTATTTACTAAGCTTGATGGGGTGCCAATAAAGTGGTCGCTAAAGGGGAGAGGTGTCAGAGTAAAGATTATCTTTTGAGACAAGGAAGAGGAGGAGAGAAATGGCCTAGTGGTGGAAGGAATTTAGGAAAGTATTGACCTTCTATCCAAGTCTCCAGAAAGTGAGCGAATACACGTCACCCACTTGCCATGCTGTTGAAGAGGAGGCTCTAAGGACATTCAGGGTCAAGGTTAGGGCGTGGAGTAGTTTGTTCACGATTCAAAGAGCTTCCATGGAATGTAATGGGCAGTGCGAAGGAAACCCATAGGACAGGGGACTCCCAAGTGCACAAAGGAATTCGGGGTTATAGCAAAATATAACAGGGATGAGAGAGAGAAGGTGAGATTACTTGGCCTTGAACCTTTTGTCTTTAGCCCTTAATCTAAGAATGATTTCGCACTGACATCATTGACATTTGTGGCTTCTTAGCCTTAGATGGTGTGCATTTTCCTGTTACCTTCGGCCAGAGTTTTAGGTAGAAGCTTCCTAAGAAGTTCTTCTACATAGTCCATTGGAAAGGAAGCACACAGATAGGCCCAAAAACTCTGAAGAATCAAGTGGCTTTATTTATTTATTTACTGGAGAGGTTTTTATTATAGGGCGCATGCGCTCGCCAAAAAGACAGAGAGAGACAGAGAGACAGAAAGTGAGAAATCACCCCCCAGGGGGGATGGCCACGCTACAATCCCTTCTCCTCCATTCTCCTCTCGGGATCTTGGGCACACATGCACCCGGCATGAGTTTAAGCCACTAGGTCCGAGACTCGAGCTGCGATCAGCTACATGGGAGTCCAGTGACATAGCCATTACTCTAACTGCTGGTCCTGAAGTGGCTTTTTTTTTTAGACAGAGATTTTTTGCTATATGGTATGTAAGCTCACAAGAGAGAAAGACAAAAGCAAGAAATTACCACCCCAGGGGGATGGGCATGCTACGATCCCTTCTCCTCCATTCTCCTCTCGGGATCTTGGGCACACATGCACCCGGCATGAGTTTAAGCCACTGGGTCCGGGACTCAAACTGCGGTAAACTACATGGGAGTCCAGCGACATAACCATTACACCAACTGCTGGTCCCCAGAGGGCTGATATTAAAAGGTCAGATGTGCCTTCAAAGTATAGATCTCTAGAAAGGGCAGGCAGGGCCACAGTCTTGTTTAAGTGTCTTTCTCTCTTCCTAAGGTCACATGATCCTGTTTTCACAGCTCACCTGGTTCAGTCTTTTTCTTCCTCATCTAATATCGCCTGCTTCCTAAAGACATACAGGTGCCCATACTAATATGTCACATGGATCTGTGCAAATTTACATACATGGGTGTTTCTCAAACTAACAGGAGGTCTGTAGTATAGGTATGTTGTGGGTGATGTTCAAACTTTTCTTTGCTGTGTATAGCTGTGTGACCCTGAGAGGGTCACTAACTGCTGGTCCCTTTCAGTAAAAAATTTTAAAGAAGGATTTATACAATTTTATTACAAACTGTTTGTCAATAAAACTGGAAAGTGATGCATATAATGGACTTAATATGACGCCCTACCCACAATAAATGCTTACCGAAAGGTTAGTGGTGACAGTGGTAGCCATGTCAGTGATAGGCTTGGGCCCTGACAAGCTCCCAGGGTAATATCTATTGCTGCTGAGTGTATTAAAACACTCAAGGAGAGTGTGACTTTTTTTTTTTTTCTAAGCTAATAAAATAGGACCCAGTCACAGTAACTAAAGCAAGAGGCTAATATCTAGCAGGATATCTCAAGTTTCATCTCTAACTTGAGATGAAAAGCTTGTATTTAAAATGGAAAAAAGAAAGATCATGTTGTAGGTATAATAGAATATCTACTACTAATAATAATAGTAATATTACTACTAACAGAAATGGTGTCAAGTATCAACTGAATAGAAGGAGGTGAAAGAGGCAGAATGTCATAGTTGGATTTATGAGTTTTGTTTTAGTTTTGGGGTATTTTTTTAGTTTGTTTGTTTTTTAGTTTTCAATAGGGCAGTGATATCGCTGGAGAGAGACACGGAGAGAGAAAAAGTGAAAAATAATCACCCCCCACAGGGTGATTGGCCACACTGCATTCCTTTTGCTTCCATTCTCTTGGGATCTTAGGCATGCCCGCACACACACCCAGCATTTTCTTCAAGCTGCTGGATCTAGGTCTTCAACCATGAGGTCTGCTATGTAGGGGTCCTCCATGCCACCAGCTGATCCAGGTTCATGTATTTTAAGTCCTCATCCTATTGCTTTGCACTTAATGCCTTGTAAATAGAGGGTACCTAATAATTTTACCTTTGCATTAAACTGCCAGAAATTATGTTTAAAGTATAAATTAATTTTTGTGCAAAAAATGTTTAAATCCATGCATAGTTTTTCATAATATGTACTTTCTACAGACTTTTGGTTTTTTTTTTTTTTTGGAGAGGTTTTTGCTATAGTGTGCGTGCACTCGCCAGGCAGACAGAGACAGAGAGACAGAAAGCGAGAAATCGCCCCCCCAGGGGGGATGGTCACGCCACAATCCCTTCTCCTCCATTCTCCTCTCGGGATCTTGGGCACGCACACACACATGCCCGGCGTGAGTTTTAAACCACCGGGTCCGGGACTCAAACCGTGGTCGACTACATGGGAGTCCAGCGACATAGCCATTACGCTAACTGCTGGTTCCCTCTACAGACTTTTTTTTGAAGATCCCCTCATATTCTGTAATTCAGGATTTTATATTATCCAGTCCAATAGTTCCATACTAATGCAGCTTGACAGATGAAAATATGGCTTTGATAAGTAGGAGGAAGTGAGGGTCGAGTTAGATCATGTAAGTAAATCTCCCTGTAAACCAAAAAGTACTGACTACACGAAATATCCATGTGATACAGGTGACAGGAAAGTTATTTAGGGTTAGAGTGAACAAAAGACCTAGAAAGGGGAATCATGTTTACCTATTTATATCAATTTATGCTGCACTCCTAGGTGGTTAATGAATGCCAAGTTTTAAGGAATATATTATATTTCATTATAGTAGAAAAACAAATGGGAAATTGTACTAATCAAGGACCAAGTTCTACAGAAAACAGTAGATAATGTTTATACAGTAAATAAAAGTACCTATAATAATTCTATGATTTTCTGGTGCTGTGAATGTTACAGCAATATAGTTTTGCTTTACATATTTAGCAAGGTAAGTATTATAAAAGCTAAAAAAATTAAGAGCTATTTAACTCTCTGTACATTGTGCAGTTTAAAAACTTTCCAAGAATCTGTAATAAGAGCATGTCTCATAACTCGTGTGTATTTTTCCCTTTCTCTCTCCTCAGTGAGTTACCTGAGAGGGAAGAAGGTGAAGGGGAAGAAACTCCGAACTTCAGCCACTGGGGCCCCCCAAGAATGTACGTGGATGGCATTTGGCTCTCTCAGTAGGAGCAGAAATGTTTATTCTCCTCTTTAACTGAATGGAGTGTCATGCTGCATACTCTAATGATTGAGAAATTGCAATAATTCACATGTATATTGGCCTAAGTTTTATTTTCATTTGGTCTGATACAGAGTTTTGTCTTGTTTTCTTTTTGGTCGTCCCAGGTGTGTGTGATTACCAGAAACAGAAAGGAGAGAGAGAAAGCAACTTCCAATGGGGAGTTATCATGCCCCAATCCCTTCTCCTCCCTTTCTCCTGCTGGGATTTTGGGCACACCTGCACATGTGCCTGTCATGTTTTGCCAGTTGCCTGGGCCAGGATGTGAACCATGGTCAGCTGTGTAAGATCCTGGGCTCACTTAATCTCTAGGCCATAGGGCCAGACCTGATCTAAAGGTTTTAAGCCAGGCAAAAAGACTATCACCAATATTAGAAAAATCTTTGCTATTCTTTAGAGAAAGGAATTTACAAGGGTTCAGCTATGCTCATACGGATGGGATTAGAATATGTCTTTCAGCCAGGCAGTAGTGTGGTAATTAAGGTGTTGGACTCCCACATAGCCAGTTGGACATGGGCCTGGTAACTTGCTTTCTCACTTTCCCTCTCTCTCTCTCTGGCTCTCTCTGGTGAGCATACATATCCTATAGCAAGTTATAATAATAATAAATAAAATAAATAATTATTTTTTTTATAAAAAGAATATGTTACTACTGTGTATTAAGGAAGTCAGGTAAGGCTGCCTTGAATACAGTAAAGATGTGGGTATTTTTTTAACAACAGTAGTGGTGGAGGCTTCTGTTACAAATCAATTTGTCTCACCCTTCCTCCTTCCTTGGTGGGACATCCAAGTTTGTGCCTTATTCTATTTAACAGAGTATGTTGAACCTGTCTTCCTCTGGTTATGGTTGTAGTTTTAAGTGCTTGCTTGGGCTGTCTTTTAAGATTATAAATCTTCCTTTAGCTGCTAGCTAACTTGCGTGCTCTCTCTCTCTCTCTCTCTCTCTTTAATTGCTAGAGGGCACGTGCAAGAGAGAACACCCCTCCAAAGGGGCGTGGTCATGGCAGTCCCCTTTCCTTCTTTTCTGTATCCCATCAGGATCCTAGGAATGCACACACACAATGCCCAGTATATTTTTCAAGCCACTTGGGCTAGGATTTGAACTGTGGTCAGCCATGTGGGATCTGACTCTCAGTGCATGGCACCGGACACTGTGCTACGGGGCCAGACCTTAAGCTGCTATCTCTGTTCTTTATGCATGATTAATTCCACTACCTTCACCTAACTTTGTTGTTGTTGTTGCAATGGAATTATGAGTCTTGCCTGAGTTATTTTTTCTCCTCTTTTTTTCAAAGTTCATTTATTTATTTTTTTTCTATCAAACAGAAAGACGGGTCCACCAATAGGTTTCTCACACCAAGATCCACCCTCAGCCTTAGCCAGCCCACACACAGGCCCATGTACCCTGCGTGTGTACAGGGAGACCTCAGGACGAGAACCTGGGCCCTTCTCGTGTGTCCTCAGCGTTATAGAGCGTCGCATCTCCACTCCACACTGCCGTGGGCCTGAGCGTCTTTTCCATTTGAGTCTGTTATTGGCCACTTATCTGCAGCTGAAGCAAAGTCCATATTTTGAGGGGCTACTGTCACTCCATACTTGCTTTTTAAACAATGATATGCAGGTAAATAGAAAGAAAGGAAAACCTTTCAAGCCTTAGGAGCAGATCAAATGTGGCTCAGAGCCAGCAGGCGGTGTGGTGGTTAAGGTGCTGGGTTCCCACATGGCTAACCATGGTTCAAGTCCCAGACCTGGCAGCTTGCACACCCTGAGCACATGTGTATGTGTGGCCAGAATCTCAAGAAGAAAATGGAGGAGAAGAGACTGCAGCATGACTATCCCCCATCAGGGACAATTTCTCACTTTTCCTCCTGCTGTTTCTCTCCTTCTCTCTGACGAACGCATGCACCCTATGGCAGAAGCCTTTAAAAAACAACAACAACAACAACAACAACAAAACACCATCCTGACTGAAGAACCAGAGTTAAACCTGCTGACTGAGCAGAGCGCAGCCTGGATCATGCGCCTCATAGTGGCAAATTCATTTTAATTTGAAAGTCTGTGTTTTTTCCCAAAATAATATATATGGTTGTCTCAATTTCCCACCCATTTGTTATTTCTTCAGTCCATTCTTTGCTGATGTTACAGATATAAATGAAATGGACTAATCACAGAAAATATGGAGTGACAGGAGGTGGAAATATTAAGGCCTAGCTAGAATATTGAGTTGTATTTACTGTTCTAGAAATTTATCTTTTTAGAATGTCAACTTGCACTTGTCATGAAAGGTTGATAGTAGCTTATGATTTTTGGTGCTAGATATAACTTATATAACAGCCATAAAACTATATTAAGAAAATTAATTTTTTGATAACATGCTGCTTTTGGCCTTTTGGCTCAGATCAGTGACAAGGATATGGTACAAGTTGAATATGTGCAGTGACAGCCCAACAAATTGAATGAACGTGTTGCCGAGTGAGTTGTGTTTTGTTCTTTTATAGTGTTGAAATTTTTAGAGAACCCAATGTGTCTCTTGGTCTCAGTATTGTTGGAGGACAGACTGTTATAAAACGCCTGAAGAACGGGGAGGAGCTTAAGGGTATATTTATCAAGCAAGTTTTAGAAGACAGTCCAGCAGGAAAAACAAACGCCCTGAAAACTGGAGATAAAATACTTGAGGTAAATGATGTTCGTTAGATACTGTGTTTGTCCAAAACATAAGATGGTAAAATAATCATTTGGCCAGGACAGCAGAATTGGGTTTTGTAGAACCGAGCCTTCATCTGTGTGAATGGATACATTTTGGAGTTATAATGATAAAGTTTAGAAAAACAAAGATTTTTTTCGTTTGTAATATGAGATTACTCCATTTTCGCCAAATTTCCCACTGTTTCCCATTAAACACTGTAGAAATCTGTGTTAGAAAAACAAAAAACTGATTATTACTGGAAGATGAAATATGAAGTCATCAGGAAAGTCATGATGTATTTCTCTGTGTTTTTCTGTGCAAAAATGTGTCATGATTCTCCAGACGACCCAGTAGTTTTCATATAGCATCTATGTGTTGTTGAAAATGTGCGGGAGTAGATTATCCATAAAACGTTTTATCAAACTATTGTAAGAGATTTAAAACTTTACTTTTTATGTATTTCATTTGTTCACTATTATCCTTATCCTTCTCCAATTCAGGAAAGGGCTTTTATAGAGCATTAAAATCTTTCAATGGATGCCTGTTAGAATGAAAATGCTAAAGTTCTTTTTTTTTTCCCCCAAAATGTGCATGTTTATGCAAGAATGAATGAAAGAGAGAGAGAGAGCAAGAGAGAGAACCTCCCCAAAGGGCCTGGTTGCACCACAATCCTTTTTTCTCCCATTTCTCCCTCCTTTCAGGATTTCGAGCCTGCATATAGACGCACCCAACATATTTCTCAAACCCCTGGGTCCAGGACTCGAATCATGCAGTTGGCCATGTGAGATCCAGTCACTTTAATTACCATGCCACTGCCTGGCCTCAGTTTATTTATTTATTTATTGATTGATTGATTGATTTTTAAATCACCAGAGAGCATGTGCACTTGCCAGAGAGAGAGGAAGAAGAAAACAACGCCAATGGAGTGTGGTCACACCACAGTTCATTCTCTTCCATTTCTCCATCCCGTAAGATTGAGGCATGCTTGCATCCTTTCCCAGCATGACTTTCAAGCTCTGGGGGCGCCATACAAACTGCAGTTGGCCATGTGAGCCCATCCAGCTCTTAACCACTAGATTATGGGGTTACCTCTCTCTTGAGTGGGTCTGTAGTTCTGCCCTGCTGTCCTATAACAACTCCATAGTTGGTTCAGTCCGCTGCTTTTATAGGTAACAATTTCAAACTTTCTATGCCTTTTTCCTTGATCTTATTCCCAGTTTATGGTCCTAGTTCCATGTTTCATTAAGAAAATAGAAGCAGCCAGAAAGGAGCTTCTCCTTACTTTCAGTGTGTGTCAAATCTTCTAACTGCATCCATGAGGGAACTGTCAGTATTGGCTTCCATCTAAAGCCAGTCCCCAACTCGTGCAATAGAAATCATTCCTTTTTAACTGTCAAGGAAATTGCACTTAGAGTTAAGGAAATTGCACTTAGAGTTGTCCCTTCTCTTTCCATCATTCTTTCCCCCCTCTCCATTGCATCAGTATTACTGTATTATCTCCCATCTGAAAATCCGAACCCTCCCTGGGTCCCATATCCATGTCAACATTCCTGTTTCTTAGGTCCTCCTAGCCCAAAGTAGTATCCAGAAATTGTCATTACCCACTGACTGTACACCCCACCACATTTACCAAGGCTCGGTTCCATTACAGATTTGAAAAGTTGGCACTATGAAATAGATTTGGTAAGAGCAGAGCGCTTCTGGAGACACATGGGCTTGTCCTTAGGTTAGATCTTCTGAGATTCCTAGACTAAGGAAACATTTCACACTTACCCAAACTTAGCAAACACAGGACACTTGGCCAAAAAAGAGCTTGTGGATGGTTTGATACTTTTTTTTTTAATAATACAAAAATAGTAGGCAATTTTAATATCCTGCTTTCAACAATGAACAGATTATCCATACGAAAAACTCAATAAGGAAACAGAGAATGTGAGTAATACATGATTTGACAAATATTCAACTATTCAATTGTGATAACAATTTGCTTAAAATATAATTCTTCTCAGCTTAGAAGAAAGACAAGTCCAGAGCGATTCCCCATCTTCCCCTGCCCCGAATTCTGTAATTCGCTAGTGTAGAAAAGGTGTCTTAGGATTCTATTGTTACCGATGGAACTAACTGTTCTGGATAATTATATTTAACCAGTGCCATTGTTAATAATGTATTTGTCTCATTTACTTTCCCTGAAGTTTTTCTTAAACATTGCTGCTAAAACAGCAAAGATGTTTTTTGTTTGTTTGTTTGTTTGTTTGTTTGTTTGTTTTAGGGGGAGAGGTTTTTTGCTATAGGGTGCATGCACTCACCAGAAAGACAGAGACGGAGAGACAAAAAGTGAGAAATCACCTCCCAGGGGGGATGGCTATGCCTGCCGCAATCCCTTCTCCTCCATTCTCATCTCAGGATCTTGGGCACACACACAAACATACACGCCTGGTGTGAGTTCAAGCTGCCAGATCCAGGACTTGAACTGCCGTCAACTGCATGGGAGTCCAGCAACATAGCCATTACACCAACTGCTGGTCCCAGCAAAGTTTTGTATGGGCCTGTCCTATTATTTTCTGGCATTGGTATACCTCATTAGACTCTGGCTATTCTCATAGGTAGACAATACATGTAAACCTTGAATTGACCTAACCACAATGTCTCCCACCTTTCTAATTTAAATAAATTACTTCTTTGTCATAGGTGTCTGGAGTAGACTTGCAGAACGCCTCACACCAAGAAGCAGTCGAGGCCATTAAGAATGCTGGAAACCCTGTGGTGTTCGTTGTTCAGAGCTTGTCAACCACCCCAAGAGTAAGTATTCATTCATATTTTAAAAATGTTTAACAATTTGAAAGAGCTTCAAACAGTTTGTGAAAAAAAAAAAAAGGAATTAAAGTGCAAGTTTATTTTGGTGCAAAAAGTTTTTTTAATCCATGCCAGAGGAGGAATTTGTTTTGTTTTGTTTTGTTTTTGATTACTCAAGGACAACCGTACTTGACAGAGAAAGAGAGAGAAAGAAAGCAACCCCAGTGGGACTTGATCATGCTGTAATATTTTTCTTTTTATAATTGCCAGATGGCACATGTACTCACTAGAGACAGAAAGAGGAAAGGAGAAAGCACCCCAGTGGGGTACAGTCCTGTGCAATTCCTTCTCCTCCTTTTCTCCATTCTGTTGAGAAATTGGGCACTTGCACGTTCCTAAAATGCTTTTCAAGCTGCCAGGGCCAGGATTTGAACTGCCGTGAACCATGTGGAATCGGGCTCCTTTAACTGCCAGGCTACAGGACATAATGTATGCATTTTCCATAAAATTTTAAAGAGCTTTTGTGTTCTCTATATCTATGAACCAATCTTTTGCCTCCAAATATTTCTCCCCATATTTTCAGTTACATAGCTGTATTATTATTTTTAGACAGTATTAGCTTCATAAAAATTTAGTCATTCACTTCAGTTTCAACTTCACTTCTTTTTCCCCCTCCAGTTTTAATCTCCTGGTTAAATGTGAGTTATTGTAACATGTGTTGATTTAAGTTACAGTCTACATGGGCAAACAGACATGTTTTGAATTCCTATTTACTAGCTTTGACACTATGTTTATGAAATATTTTGAACATAAAAAGGGCCAAATGTAAAAATATTCTACAGAGTCCATCAAATATGCTATATATTTGTTATGTATAAAAAGACAACCATGTTGATATGAGATATCCTATTTTCTAGGAATTAATTTTAGTCACCCCTAAAACTTTATTTTGCAAAATGAGATGTTTAGATGATAGTTACTATTGTGACTTTATTTTTAGACTCCTTGATCTTCATCTTCTGGATCTACACACACAAAATTTTGATTTTATATACCATGATGATAAATATAAGTGATATATATATATATATATGTGTATATATATATATATATAAATTTATGTTTCATTTATTCATGCAAGAGCTGAGCACACTCAAGAGCAAGAGAGAGGAATGGCCTCTCCATGGAGCCTG